AAACTGACTGAAATAATGAAGAATCTAGGTCTGAAACAGTGACAGGTGTCATGGCTAGAGATAAGCCTAGCTGTCACTTAGGGCACGTCGTATTTGGGGATCCTCATTGAGGGAGAAAGGGGGGGGGCGTCGCATTTTGCAAAATTTCCCTAGTGGCAGGACGTGCATGGGCTGTACATTTCCATAGATTCGATTTCTTCTCTCAGCCCATAAACTTGTTTATAGGCTCCAACTTGTCATGAAGGAATGACTACCATTAGCTGACGTTCAGATCGCATCGGAGCTACTGCCAAAGCAGGCTGCGCCTTTGAACGCTCGTCGAACTTGCGGAAGGCCAATGGCACGGCATTGAAGCTCGTTTCTCCATTAGGGTGTCTTATGGGAAAAAGGTTAGGATCTATCATCCAACACAGCTTAAACACTTACCGATGATTGAAAGTGAATTCAAGGCGAACACGCAGAATATCGCGATCCCGAAGAAGATTTCAACGACGAATAGACCAAAGAAGGCATTTTCATAGCTCATTTGGAAGAGGCTGTTGTAGAGCCCATAGGCTAGAGAGTGAGGTCGTGGTCGAGTCTAAATCGTAAGAGAAGTAGGACAGATAGAGACGCACAAAAATGCCTTCAGAGCAGTCACCTACCGTATTCACTGCTGTGTGGACCATCCAGTCACTGGTTGGTTTTAACAGATCGCGGAATGGTAATTTGTGGCGAATCATCATCACATACATCGTATACGAGGCAAAAGCTGCGACGATGAACGTTGGAGCGAAACATTATGCCTGAAAGCTATCAGCTATTGATGAAATTCTGAAGTAGAACCAGCTTTTAACTATTAATGGCTTGACGCGCTATACGTTTGAGTGTTTGTACAGTCGTCATCCGGGCAGCCATTAGGCGTTCGAAAGGTCGCAGAGGCGGCTGCAGCAGCCTGGTTTAGCCATTTTAGATTAATTGACTCAAACTAGATTCGAACTACCTTGTAAAGACAACAAACAACCAACCTTGAAAAAAGCAGCCAAAAACAGTGAAGCATAG